ACGCTACGCAACGTTGTCAACCATGTGATTGATTGGGCGACTTGGATCCATTTGCCTGTGATGACGCTGGCCGCTGATCTCGTTGCATTCTCCTTACTTATGCGAAGCGGAAATACGACGCCGGACACCACGCGACGACGTTTCACTCTTATGGTTCAGAGTTGGATAGAGACGGCATCAAATACGATGCCTGAACCGCGTGGGAAAGCCACTGTTTCGCCATCGTCAGTGGGTCAGTCTCGCCTAATGACCTGCCGCTCACATCGTCGTCGTCAGCCGTCCGTGTTTAACGACCGCGAGCCGTTCAAAGGCGGCCATCGTTCAGTTCCCTCTTCACAGCATGCTGTGTAAGCTCTGTGCACAGCTAGCAAGTCGACGCAATTGCACACCTGACAGCCACGTAACCTTCTGTTTTCTGGCACTGTGGGATAGAACATTTTTCTCCAGAACCACTGAGCTATAGCGAAGACGTAGCGAATACGAATCAGAAACGTTTCGAAATCGTCGTCTACCTCAAACGATGCCTTGTGCACAAACTTCGATTCCTGATGCTAGATCAAAGCTTATATTCATACCGCTTTACAATGCGATTTGCTATATTACAATTATAACTTTATCAGGCTTGTAGTAGAGCCAACCACGTGTAGGCGTCGCAAAGAGTAATCAGTCACTAAAACATAAAATAGCGTATAAGGGATAATCTTGCAACTTTGTTACGAATCACCAAATGGCTGCATAGTGACGTAGTGGGTAACGTGACGTGAGTGGGCTGCATAGTGACGTAGTGGGTTGTTTTTCGTTATCCCGCATTTAAAACCTGATTATTAATTAAGATTCGTTGTTTGTTCACTTTCCAGATCAGTTTTGGGCTGAATTATTTCTTAATGTAACTTACATAGAAAAAGAGCCCTTGTCTTAAAAGCTGGACTGTCGAAACCCTAACTTTGTACCTAACAAAGCGCTTCAGCGTTACGGAAAGAAAGCGATGCATTGATTGATCAACTCAACCTTATGTTTAAACGCTGGTCATTATATGTTTGATGTCTCTTCTATCTTGACACAAGCAGAAATGAGTAAATAAGGCAACAGAGAATAATGATAACTCTTCTAAAAGGTGTTATAACGTGAAACATTTCTTCCAAATGATATTTCCATTAAAAGGAGAACAACACATAAGAACCTATAATGCGATGGCACGGTGAGAAAGGAGTCGGTTCGGAACTGCGAAGGTATCGGGTGGAAATTCGAGAAAGGGCAAAATGTTTTTTAACCGTTAACTCCCTTGAACAAGGAATTCATCACGCACTGCTGCGATACAACCGGCCGAGGAACGGATGATAAATCGTTGACTTGCGAACAGTAGGGAGTGCATGATGTTCATGTCTGTTCTTACTGTCTGATGCAAGCTCCATTTTTCGGTGCAGTTAGCCTTGATCCATTTGATAGCTGCTTATTTGACCTGATTATCATTAGAATACGTGAGCCCTGTTGTTGTTATAAAACACCAGAGCTGTTTCTCTTTTCGATTAGCACCACACCCGTCCGGCAGCTTCGCTTGCATGAACTCCGCTAGTACGAAGTTGTGCTAGTGAATGACAGCGTGGTGGGCGAAGATTCATGCAGCTAATTAATTGTAGCTCCAACCTACAAAAAAGTCTTTTGCCAGTCCAGTAAATTCATAGTACTGATGTGGTCTTGATTACTCACAATAATACATCATATCGCTTATGTTTTCCTAAGGATATATTCAGAAATCATGTGTGCTGTTAAAGTTGAAGGAGAACTATCTGATAGACTATCTATTAACTGTGGAGTTCGCCGAAGAGGTATGCCTTCGTATCTGCTCTTCAACGTTGCCACCGACATTTTTCTCCAAAACAGTGCTGACCGCAAAAAAAAAACAAAGGTCCCATCGTAGATGGAAGGCACAGTTCAAGATGTCCGGCTAAACTTCTTGTAGACGTGGAGTGCGCAGATGATGCTGTTCTGGTGAATAGTAGGGGAAGCGAGTTCTGTCACCTGGCGGCTCCCCTTTGCAACACAGCTGTGAAAGCTGACCTCTTCCTTAATGCCCGGAAGTCAAAAGTTATTACGATTCGTCCATCACGGCAGATCTACAAGTTGAACAGTGGATGAAGCCATTTAGTAGGCTGATCAGTATGAGTATCTCATCTCCAGCATTTCCAGAAATAGCACTATTTAGTCAGAGCTAAATAAGAAGATCACTTTAACCTGGAGTGTTTAGGAAACCTGGCCATTTTTTGGGCTGCGAAAGAAGTTACTGCCCCAACGAAAATTCGCTTGTACCTAGTCTCGGTCAGGCCAGCGCTAGGAAAGAGCAAGAACGACATGAGAACTGCGTAGAACATCGCTGTCTTCGACGCATAATGAGGGCTAAATGATGGGTCCAAGTAAGGAATGGCTCTTGTTTCTTCAGAGCACAGCTAGCATCAGTACGTGCGAGTATTAAAAAAGGAGGTTTGCCCTATTAGAAAAATTGGCTGATCATACACCATTTACTCCAATCCGTGAAATTCTCTTGTGTGAGCTGAAACTGCATATTTTGACCAGGAGGTCAGAATGCAGCATGGACGAACAAAGTAAAGGAAGATCTGCTTTCGAAAACGAACATTTTCTCCTGCGATGCAGTAACTGGTGCCTTAGAGCCAAAATGTTGAAAAGCTGCGGATGCAGCGAATATTACAAACCAGAGAAATGATGCTTATGTAAATGGTCGAGGTGATAAGCTCAAGAAAGAGAAGCACACAGTATCAAGGTAACAGGAGCACTTGCGATACATTTGAAAACCGAGAGATCTTTAAAAGTAAAATAAAATGAACACTGTGGTACCGAAAAGCCCCGCAGAATTATTGGAGTTTCATCTGAAGTTGATAAATGAGTACCAATTCGAAGGATATGTACCGTGTATGATATGATACAGTTGTCACTAATCTGTAGATATAGCCTTAAAAAGTCAAAATATGAAATTCCTGGTTTCTGGCAGGGATATGGAGGTAAACTTCTTGAAAAAACTACAACAAATAGCCCAATCATGAAAGTTGTCAGGAAGACAGACAAACTTTGAAAGTCCTTATTCTGCACAGTGTAACTTCGTGTTGTTTTCCATGCTACGGATAAAGTTGGTGGTTATATTTCTCAGCAAAAATTAGTGATGAATATGCCACCGCTGCATGGGTAAGATTTTCTGACAAAATTAGACCAAGAGGATCAACTAATAGTGCTAAATCATCCGGTGTTCAGATGTTTCAGCAACTGTGCACAATTTCACTCCACTTTTATTTGCTTTGTGTTGTTAAGGTGCTGCGAATGATGTTCACTGCTGTCTGGTGCTTTTTCAAACATTAATCATGACAATAATAGATAGGTATCAGGAGACGTCATCTTCGTTTTGGAGACGTGCATTTGTTCAGCCAACCAAGAAACAGTAACTAACATGCACCAGCTCTTTAAAATGTAGAAATTGTTAGGCTACTAACCTAAACGTAGAAATTGTATTTCTCTTGCCACATTGTTCATTGCACCCACTTGAGAGCACTGAATACATTCAACATTCAACTTCAGTACGGAGTTAAACGCTGTAGCGTCATCCAAAAGACAGTTTTGGAAAATAGAGTGTCACGTGAAAATAACTTATGTAATTCCTCTGCAGTGATATGACTATCTTAAAATCTTTTCGAATCCTCTTTTATGAGGGCAGTCGTCTGAGCTGTTCAAAACATTGACGTTGTTCAGGTTCACGAAAAGAAATCAGCGAAGCTGATGTCATCAGCAGTGTGGCCTGAATAAAATGATCTGCTATGAACTGTTTTTCAGTTCTTGTCAAAAGTTCGCTTGCCAATGGATCTTCCATGCCGCTGACATTTTTTTGCGCATTTCCTCCTTGGTAAGATTAAATGTTGTTTCTGATTCAACATTGATCCGGAAGCCTAAGCAATTCCATGTGCCAAAGAAGTGAATCAGGTCAAATGGGCAAACCTGGGGTTAGCTTGGCAATAATGCTGATTTTCGCGCATTTTTTTCTCCAGAGCCCAGCTGATCGATTATCAGTGAGGTATTTACAAACCATAAAATATATCAAATCAGCCAAGGATTATACACGTCTCACATTTTAGTCAACGGACTGCATCCGCTGGAAGGAATTTTTATTTATTTTTTTGCGAGGAACATAAACGCTTGACCCTGAAAGGAGCTGCATGTTGACAAGACAGATGGCATTGTGTTAAGTTTAAAAATCAAAATGCGAGTATTATTTCAAGCTGGTAAACGAATGCTGTGTCACAAATTTCAATTTTCCCAGTCATTCATTTGCACAACACCATAGGATCAGGTCAAACTTACGATTAACGCGCGCATGTGCTTAGATAATTGAGAAACGTCGTCGCGATCGAATTAACAGCTGCCTGCTGGAACTTCGTCGTCTTGTCCCAATCGCTTTAGAAAAACAGGGAACGCAGAAGCTGGAGAAAGCCGAAATTTTACAAATGACTGTCGAACACTTACGATACTTGCATTCGAAAGGTAATATCTGCGGCAGATGGCTATCGAGTTTTGCTGTTCTTTGATGATCATTTTAGGATTGGATATGATGGCATACGATCCGCAAAGATTTGCTTCAGACTACCATTCAATGGGATTCCGAGAGTGTGCTAGCGAAGTCGCCCGTTATCTGACTTCCGTTGAGGGAATGGAGCTGCACGATCCGCTACGAACACGTCTTATCAGTCATCTCCAGTACTATTGCGCACAGAAACTGTCGGCATTCAGTCAGTGGAACCCACAGCACACCGCCTCATCTAGCTGGGTGCAGAACACACAGTTAACCAAGATTGATTCGTCTTCATTTCCGTATTCCGTGCCTCATTCGACGAGCTCTTCAGTGGCGGAGATGTCGACCGGCAATCACTTTGTCACATGTTACTCAAGCGCGCTTTCCCTACCGACAGTCACTTGCCAAACGTCCAGTTTGAACAATCGTTCCGCAGTCTGTTTGTCCGCCACTGAACCGACGACCAACATAAGCAGTGCGATGCCCATTCATATTCCTCCGGCAACAAGTGCCCCGTCCATTTCTAGTCTCAATTTTCAGTTCATTGGCAACAGTCAATCTGCAGCGCAGGGCGACAGCAGCAGATTTCTTTACGGTGGCAGAATTTGGGGGGAATGACACAACTTGTTGAAAATACTTTTAATCGAAGTTCAGCTTTTGTTTTCTTTCGCTGTGAATTTGACCAGCTTCGAATAAATAGAAGTTTTCGCTGTTTTCCTTTTCTTAATGTCAGAGAAGGAATTCTTCACTGTACTCAAAAAATTTGTGCCGAAAAGTATTTGTTTCAGAATCGGAGCGATTATAAGGGAATATTTAAGGAAGCAAGATTATATGTCGGTTAGCAGTCATGATCTGTTCTATAGTTTAAACGTAAGACGAAACTGTTGCGCATACACTGGAAGTTAAATACAATATGAAGTGCTATGCGTGACCCTACCCATGCTTCACAAGGCATTGCTTGTTTGATCTACATCAGAAACTTTCAATTATTCATTTCCCCTTCATTTACGGAACGTTGCCAGGAGGGCAATAATAGATCTGTTATTTCGACCGGATATTCTTTTCTTCGAGCTCCTCTACCTGACTTTGTTATGCACACAAGCTGGCTCATAGTTGTTAGTTTCTCTCTGTTACAATTTAGAAACGTGGCACGGATTGAAATAACACTTCACTTCGACGAAACTGCAACAGCACGAAACAAAGCTATTTCTTTCCCATGAAAAGGACTTACTAGAGAGTCGGAAAAAGTATTGTTGGAGAAATGAAAGATGTTAAAAGCTTCGCAGCAATAAATGTTTTTTCTCAGCGTTTTCGATTATGGATCAGTTAATTGCAATTTACTTTTATATTTTAGCAAAACGGCTTTACTTTTCACTCATGTTATTTGCACGGACAATTATTTGGAAAAATGTTGTAAAAAAATGATTGTTACGAATGATATTCTGTTTCACACAGCTGTGACGGAACAAAAATGTGCCTACTATTTTAAGAATATTTTGGTAACGATATTTAAACCCGTAAGGATCGGAAATAATTTACTGAATTTATTGCATATAGTCAAAGTGAAAAATTGCCCTACTGGTAAGAAACAGTACCAATGCCAGAATCTGGCTTCCAGTATTTGCTACAGGCGGGATTTCGTGGTATCCACGGTTCAGTTACAAAGCAGAGATACTTCATTCGGTGATTCAGTTTTAAAACGCTTTTTAAGTCCGTCTCGGAAAGGTGTTCTTCGGTATTCAACCGAGTTTTCTTTTTCTTGACTTAGCATCTACTGCATGCAGCTTCTCAGGATTAGAGAAAAGGCTGAGAAATCCGTGATGGAACTGATATTGCCAGCTCCTGCAAAATGTCCGTTGACACGCTCCTTCAAAAACATCCCTTTTTCGTATAGGGCAAAACGCATGAAATACCGGTTTGTGGCAGTTGAACTCCTGTTTTCTTTTATATTAAAGCTGGCTGAAACAATGAACAACAGACAACGAAACGGTCTTATAACGAGAATAACTAAAAAAGTAATGTTCGTCACCGTTAAAATGTCGGTGTTCCTTAACTTTCACCATAATTTGATTATATTGGCGCTCGTCACTTCATGAAGCTGACTGTGCGGTGCTGATCTCTGTTTATATGCCATCAGTCAAGTGCTTCATTTTCTAAAGGACGAGTGTACAGCCATGTGTACTGTCCTGCTTCTTTCCCACAGAGTTGACCCATTTATCAACATCGAGAGGAAGAAAGACAAGCGAACCTGAGGTAGCTTCAACTCAGGACCTATCGGTTATGACTTCGATAGTCTTGGACTAAAGCAATCTGTGGTAAATTCTTTGTTCAGTAGAGTTCGGGAATGAGACAAAGATTATCAGAAGGAATGAAACCCAGCATTTCCAGAGTTCGAAGCAGGCGTTTTAGACAACTGTGTGAACGAGCCGAATGGAGTCATAACTAATAATCACTTTGAAAGGCACACATGACATGGCCAAACGTCAGGGTGCCTTGTAGCAGCCATGTATGACTCGAAACGTCAGCAGTGATGTAATAAAATCCAGTTAAGGAGCAATCTAAAAAGAAAGATTAAAATATTTGAACCAATGTTCCATAAATACAATTTTCAAGTTTCTAAGCCTATTGCAAAAACCGTTCAAATGCACCTAAAAATCTACGCCATCGGCAACGAAGCTGGTTTCCATTCAGGAAATGGGAGTGAAACTACATCGGACTTGACCTACAAGCAACTGATTTGCCATGATGAGATACAATTATTTGAGGATCTTGCCTTGGATTCGACAGTCGTCACGCACTCCCTGAATCCGAGCGAAACTATTTAAGCAATTAAAGGAGAAAAATCTGTTTAAATAAATTAACATAGGTAAACCTTATTCCAAAAGCAGTGCCTAGATCCAATATGAATTTTATTTTGATGAACATGCACTACCGTATTTTCCCATCGATAAACGCGCGTTATCTGTACAAATAGTCTAGTCAACATGAAGAAAAAAACATCTTGCGCGTTATGCAATGAAAAACAAAAAGTTTCAAATTATTCCGAGATTTTCATGTACGCGGTAATTTCAAACTACGCTTATTATAAAAATGAATTAGCCTGCAACCATGTACATATTGCAATATCAGTGAATATAAGGGTTAATATAACAAAATAAGATAAAAATAAAATGTAAACTGACATTTATTGTACTAATGTTTTACAATAAAATTACTCAAAATCATCAAACTCTTTTCCTGAATCAGTATAAAATGAATCAAGAACATTTTCTATTTCTTCAGGTACCCCATCATTCAGTTTGTTTTCTGAAATTAATCCTTCATCATCTTCTGGTTTTGGCTGTCAAGTACAGCACCTAATGCTGTTAAGAAAGCAAATTTTTCACAAAGACACCGTAGCACCTTGCCAACTTTCAACGATCCACCTGCACATTTCTTCATATGTCACCTCTTTAATCTTTCCCGATTTACTATAGTCTTTAATTCCAGTCATTATTCACTTCTCCCATCTGGACCCAACGTTGACTCAAAACATTTATTAACGGATAAATCAGTCGTCTGAATCTTTTTTGTTAATTTACCCAGAATAACTGCCAATTTTGCAAATTTCCTTTCTATCCCTTCAAATCATCAATAATATGCGCACGGCAGGAGTTCGTTATCAACAAGGATTTTGGATTGAAAAAGGCCTGACTTCTTTTTCTACAAACAATTACGACCTATATTTTAATCATATCTTGATTTGCCCATCCGTTCTCATCCGCAGCAATAAAATGTCTTTTGGTAAGTTTTAGTTGGACACTGTTTTCTCTTAAATATAACCAATCGAGAAACCTTCCCACAATTGGAAGTAACACTTAACAAAACAGTTAAACTTGACTTCTCATGCCCGGTTGCAGCTTCATTCCATCCTTTTAAATTAACCGTACTTGAACTAGGGAGATCAAGACTAACTGGCACTTCGTCCGCATTACCAATATGTGTAGGAAATACGCCACACAAGCCTTCTTTAACCAAACATCTAACTTTCCCTAATTTCGTATCCCAACCATCGCGTAGTTTTTGACTAACACTTGTGGATGAACGAATGTATAAATTGCTCCGTTTCATAAACCTGAAAGCCCATGAGCTTTAAAATTTTCTAATTTGACCTGCTCTGCAACTACTTTTACCGTCAACAAAATACTGGCTGTTCACGCATTATGTCCTTTAGACCTTTCTGAAAGAACATACTCGATAAATGTTTTTCAAGTTCTGGCCGGGAGAATCTCCTGCACCTCATTGCACTTTTGTTCGGGTGTAAACATTTAGAACTGCTTCTTCTTTCCTCCATTCACGTACACTGGACACTCCAACATTAAATTTCCCAGCTGCCTCACGATTCCCTTTCTCTTTCACGAAATTAATGGCTTCCAGCTTAAGCATCGGGGTATATGATATTATCCATAGTAAGTTTTTCTCTCCAAGGAAATTCTCACAGCAGCAGTTTTCAATTTTGAAAACAAAGCATTTGCAAAATGCACGTGCTTAAAGAACAGAAGCAATATGGTGATTCTTGCCAGTTCTCCTGTTCGTTTGTTTTAGTTACAGCCACAGTCAATCATACTATTCTATCATTCACTTGTCTGAAAACTGTCCACTTTCAGATCTTAAATAGACTGCACTCTGTCTGTACATTTTCACTGAGTCATGAAACATTACAAGGTGCGCGGTATCAACTAGAAGCACGTTATCTATACATTTGGACGAGCATAAGAATGCAAGGTACGCGTTATCGATGGGAAAATACAGGTACAATGCTCTAGCTGTATATGACAAAACGGAGCATTATAAGTTGATCGTATGGCGAAGTATGTCAAATAACGCATGACTCATTCAAGGTCAGATTTGACGTTGCATAAACCGTACCCCTCGTCTTCACTGCTTAGGAGGTATTTAAGCAAACCACGATTCCGTAGGATTTGAACATCTGTAGGGATAAATGCATTTCGCATAGCTTAGTTTGCTAAAATCACCTGTCTGCAACCATTACAAACCATAGTCCGGAAGCTGATGCTTCTCATATGGTACAGAATAAACATCATAAACTACTCGTAAGTATCCTTGTTCTTCGAGAACACATGATTAAAGAACATTCTACGCATTTTCTTCCCGTTTGCCACTTACCTAAAAATTATGTCACCTCCCGCATAAAAAAGTCA